AAAAAAAACATGTTTTTCAGCTCTTTTCAAAATGTGTCGGGTAGCCCCGCCAAGTTACAAAAATTATGTTTTTTAACTGTTTTTTCAGGTGTAAATGAAAATGACCAATGTATTGACATAGGTAAACCTCGTTTAACATTTTTATCACAAAATTATTTTATTTATTACATATTTATATACTTTTAGTGAATTCTATCATTTAATAACAATCATTTAATAACAACAATATTTCTTGTTAAAAATGCATGTAACATTCAAATTCGAAGCAATAAAATAATAATCTTTGCAACCGTACATTTATCGACGAAATAAAATTGGTCGTTGATACCCGACATTCATGTGAGCGGGGCTACCCGAAATCCAATTTTCTTGTAAATTTGTAATTACTCGAACAATTTTTCACATATAGACTTCCTTCTTTGTGCAAATTAAATTTAAGACTACATACTTTAATGCTGTATGTATAGAAAAAATTATTTTTTTAGTATTAAAATGAAGTTTAATCGAAACGTTCAACCAATTTGTCTTAATTTCATGACTACTGTATTCAACATATTTTCAAAACTATTGTTTACCATGTTAGCAGCTGCATAAATACTTGAAACTTTGAAAATAATCTTTTTTTAATATAACAATTAATGTCCGATGGCCTATTGACTTGAAAAAATATTCTATACATATGAAATTGACAGTGGGAGGGGGTACCCGCTGGGTGGGGCTACCCGACTCTCCTCTACATTACTTCATGTCTCATAAAAATATTTTCGTCTCGTTTATTGCGATGTGAAAGACCGACATAGTAAAAATAACTGCTTTTAACCACTGCCTTTAACTAACAAGAAATTGCTTTTTTTTCCTTTGGAAAATTATTTTAATTGATATCTGCAAATTATAACTGTAAGAATTCAAAATATTTCATGGCAAATTCTTTAAGCAAAAATTTTTCTCGTGATCCCATGTGACTGTCACCTCTAAGGCTAAATCTCAAAATCCGTTAACATGCACTTTAACTAGATAATCTGCAAATTTACTGATTTGTACTGTTAAAGTGTGAAATCAAAGATTTTTCTCGATTTACTAAGGTTATGAGCTCATTAACAGTTTTCGTATCTTTCGAACTGAAAAGTTGCTCACAGCCATTTCATCAACTAATTTGTAAATATTAACATTAATGAAATAATAAATCGGAGAAAAAAAATTAAATACCGTGAAAGGTTTCTGCAATTTAATTTTTACAGCCACGTGTGCTTATTTTATGGTTGATGATATTGTAATGCTTTTCTTTTACTAAGAAGAAGTTTTTTTTTCTTTCATTTCAGCATACCCGCTGGTTTCCTCATCAATCCCTACGCAGATATGAATCCTGTTAAATATGTTGATATCGACGTAAAGCCATTCAGCACTGTTACTTCAACGCGGAATTTTGAAGCTAAGTTTACTGCAGGTTGATTTTATTTATTTATTTAATTTTTTTTTAGGGTTCTAGTCTTCTAGTTTGCCATTTCAGTACCGCGAGTTACAACGCTGGACCAGTATGATTTTATAATTTTTAACCGTCGTTAAACAGCAGACCCAGACCCAATTTTGGGTTTTTTCCTCCATTGGTATGACAGCTCTTTGTGGGCCAGGGGGTTCCCTAGAATGTTCTTCTATTCTGCTCCTTTCTTTGTGTTTGTTCTCCAGTTAGTAATTCTTAAGACTTTCATATCCTCTTCCATACAGTTAAGCTATCTAATCTTAGATCTACCTCTAACTCTAGTTCCCATTGGTTTGTAATTAAAGATCATAAATGTCAAGGAAGAAGTGTCAATTTGACAGATGTGAATCGCACGTTTTCGATATATTTTGATGTATTTGTTGATATCAGCTTGAATAGCTTATATAGTTCAAAATAATGTCGTTGTTTCCATAAACCATTCACATTTTTAGCACCAACATTTTTTCTCAAAACTTGGTTTACGACTACAAAACTGTTCCTGTCATTTTGAACCTAATCCAAAGGACAAGGGAACTCCTGGCTCAAGTATGGGGAACAATTTGCCTTCATGGAAAACTTTTTGATGGAACTGTCCCTCATTTGCGCTATAAGGAGAGTAAAACCTCGAAAACCACCCTCGGTTAGCCTGACGCCGAGGGGACTCTAACCCAGGATCTACCATTGAGGATATTTTGTGTCAGCACTGCGGTCAGTGCGAGCCAACTGCAGAATTCGAATCGACTAGTCATCACTGAGATTCGAAAATCGGTCAAACAATTTAGAGAAAAGTGACTAAAAACCTTGTTATTACTAATTTTGACATTATTCATCAACCGTAAGAGTAATTCACTCTTTGAAAATATTTATCCACCTTTTCGAAACATTTCTTATAGAATGAGTAGTTGCAAGACTTCTGAAAAACGTTTTAGTTTTCTTTATATGACTTTATCATATATTCTGTGGCCATGACAGCCTGGTTGTTAATGCGTTGTCTCACGTGAGAAAGGGAGTCAGCTGGCCGAAGACTCTCCTTGTAGTAAATGGTGCATATTAAATTTGTCAAGTCACAAAGTCCTCTATGTTTCCATAACAAATTATACCCCTGGGGGTACTGGATTAGAGATTGGTCGTTCTCCAGTTTAGGTCAAAATTACGATCTGTGTATGAATGGGTCCTTTCTATAAACGGGTATGACAGAAGACGAATTCTTAGCCATAGATGGCACCACTGGAAATCTCACCCTTTGTCTTTGTGGCCAACGACAGCAACAACATCATTTATTCATAGATTCTTTTCCTCGGATTCGATTCTTCTTTTGAGAATTTCTGACAAATAACACTGAGAAATTTTTTTCTTCTCTGTTGATTGAAATTTTTGAACGCATCTTAGATATTTTCGCAAACCGAATTCAAATCTGAAATCGGTTTTTCTCTAAAAGCTACAGCGTTTTATGTTATTCAATTATATATTCCCAACTTGGAGTCTTTAAAATTCAAACAAGAGAATGCTAAGAGTCCCCACTTCTCTGCTGCTCACGTCGTGGTGCTAGGAAAAATCAATAATATATTTCTGTTTATAAAGTGATAGGTTAAGAAGGTATCTTTTTTGTTTTAATTGTTATTTTCATCAGGGCAGATTAATGTTTTGTATGCATATAAACTTCTACGTTCTTTATAAGTTTGTACATTCCGACAAAAACTAAACTATATATATCATTTAATAAAAAAATATGCAGCTCTCCGAACAAAACTGATTTTAGATTTGAAGTCCACAGACCCGAATAAAATGAGATTAAGTGCTTGTATGAATGCAATAAAAAAATGTGCCCCAGTATTATTAAAGCAATTAAATTTCATTAAATTAACATTGAGTTTAAATTATTTTGAGCTCCAAGATATTTAAATAATTCTAAAATATATATAAATAACTGAAAGGTATATTGCAGGCTAAATCGAATCTTCACGTTTAACTCTCAAAAAAGAAACAAAAGTGTCCACTCTTTCAAAGAAGTGCCGTTTTTGCACTTAATTATGTGCACAGACATACACCGTTCGTAACGCTATGTCGGTTTCAAATAGTTTTACCTTAATTGTAATTTTATTTAATATTTAATTATTTGAAATTGCCAACAGATGCTGTTTAAAATAAAAATAGTTCTTTTCCATTGCAAATGAAATTGTTTCAATTTCCATTTTCAATCTTTCATAGGTATGTCATGTAATTTACATGGCACAATGTCCAACGAGCCTATAGTTTTATATAGTGGTCAAGGATGGAGCGGGTTCTTAGAGCTGTTCTTTGTACAATTCACTTTTCAAAATAAAACTGGTTATGGATTGTTTTTATCAGGGTAAGTACATTTTATACAATACTTTCATTTATGATAAAACCTGTGTAAGTTGACCACTTTAAGGTCAAATATTTGATGGTCCACTTAGATAATAATCAATAGTAATATTATTGATTTTGCTTTTTTTTTAGTTTTGATCATCAATCTCTTTATATTGATCACCTTAGACGGTTAATCAATATACAGTGCTGGTTACTTTAACGGGTTTCATTGTTGTTAGACAGATGATTAACCTACGGATGAGGTCAAATTAACAGGTTTCATTTATTTAAAATTGTCGTTGAACTGCCGACCCAGTTTATGACTACTAATGTTCAACTCCGTAGCTTCGTAATTTTGAACCCAATCCAGAAGACAAGGGAACTCCTGGATTAAGTAATGGGAGGAAATTTGCCTTCGCGGAGGACTTCTTTGATGGAACTAAACCGCATTTGCGTTATATGAAGAGGAAAAGCACGAAAACTTTCCACATTCAGCTGATAGCTAGGGGACTTTGACCCATAATTCGTCTATCCCTGAGAATATTTTAAATCAGCATTGTGGTTGGTGCGAACCGAGTGCGAAATTCGTATCGACCAGCCATTGCTGGGATTCGAACTCGGTGCACATGTGAGAGTGCAATTAATTTTTACCTCTTTTCAAAATTTTGGACATTTTGTGACCTATTTTAGATTTGACAGAAATAGTTTTCATCGAGAATTTGTTTTATAAATGTTCAGAACAACAATATTTTAAATTTAAAAAAAATAGCTCGTTAGCGCTCTTTACGGATAATAAAACAAATTAGCTACTTTCTTAAGATTAAATCGAACACTTCTTATATTTGCTGCTATTTATGACCATTATTAATTATTTTATTAAAAAAACCGTTCTATTGGGATCCAATGATTTTCATTTGTAAGGTTTTTTTTAGCGAAAACGGAACAATAGCTGTTATAAACTTCTTTCAATTGAGAGAATACACAAATCTAAAACAGTAAAAGATACATTTTAAAGTAAAAATGAAATTAAAAAAATCATTTAGCTTAATGACCCAGTTGATGAATTATTACTCATAATGACCTCGTAAATGAGTATTTATTAAATAAAGTCGTCACATTCATAGACACGTTTAATTGGTAATTAAAATATACTGTTAATTGCTCATCAGTCTTACTTTACATTTTTAATCCTAGACGAAACCCTTTTTGCTGTTAAATTTTTTCTCTTCTTAATGTTTAAATCAGTGATTTGAGGCTTGGTTGCTGTTGGTACTGCAACCTCTCCTTTTTAATAAAAATTTGGATTATTTTTATTAATTGTATGATATTTCCATTTAAAGGATAACAATATGCAGTTTGAGGGTTAAAAATACGTGTTTAAAAATAAGTTAAATAATAATTGTTATTCATATTTGGCAATATTTTTTTTTTGTTTAAATACTACTGTTAAATGCAATTAAGTAGAGAAATGATACATTTTTAAACACTGTATTTAAAGTGAAGCGACATACGCTTTAGCTATTTGTTGTTTAATCCTTTTGCACTATACATTAAGATGCACAAGTATATTAAGAGGCTGTTTGAAATACAAACACTAAATCATTTGAAACGCACAATACTTTTTTTTTGAATAATTTTGAAAATTCATAAAATAAAGTGGTTATTAATTATTCAGGTTTAAAAAGTTTTGATTTTAAATTGGTGGCTAATGATTTTTCCTCACAAATGACATCGTTGTGCAAAAGGTTAAAGAATGGTGGTCGTTTAAAATTGGCGAGCGTTTAAAAGCAAATAGTTTTATATATATCGAGAGGTTTTGAAATATTTAGGAAATTAGTGTTTCCAGACAGGACACACTGGCTAAATGAGCTATTAAATGATTGTAAGTAATTCAGAAAAGTTATTAGGCATCAAAGAGTTATTTCATTAAATTTTAGATTATTTCTGAAAACTGATTTGAAACTTTTTAATTTTTAAAACAGGGAGGTGTATAATGAGCCCCCGACACCAAGGGTTCCTATGCGTCAAACGGTGTGCCCTAAAGGTAAGGCAATTTTGACAATTCTAAAATCTTTTTTAATAATATCTTTGAAATTATCGACAATAATTATTCGAAACTAAGGAAATTAAGGACAGTTTGTATTACTCAAATTCTAAAATGGAATTGTACTACATTAAAATTGGTATTCTAATATCCCTAGTGAAATGTTCTTATAAAAGTCTCCGACTACTACGGAATATCCGTAGTTTCAAAACATATTTTGTCCTGGTGGAAACGAAAGTAATGTATTATTGTTTTAATTAATTTGAATTAAACGAATTTAGTTTTATAAAGCTTTACTAATGCATAATTTCAAATCAAAATATTATTACTAATAATGTTAATGTATGAGTTTGGCTCACCAAAAAAAAAAAAAAAATTAAATTATCAAGTTAGCAGTTATTTTCTTTTCGAAAAAAGCATACCATGGAAGACGAAAGATTTAATGTTAAATAGACCAATCTGTCCTCTTTAACTTCGAGACAGTCGAGTCATATATGCATTCTCAGGGGGTTGATAATCAGGGTTAACAGAGATAAAAGTGGTAGCCAAACTGTTTTTATCGCAGTTTATTTGTGGGCGGGATAACAATAGTTTGCTTTATTTAATTCACCACTACTTAGCTCGACTTAAAAATTGTATAGTTATATTTTTAACACACGGGAATTGGATGTGTGAAGCAAAAAAAGTCTGTCAAATTGGCTATGCCCAAACTTAAGCTACACTTTTTTATTTTTTACTATCCGGATTCTGATTCCGTAAGAATATATTTATAACTCGCGAGTCTCGAAAAGGTTAATTCTTAGCGAAACAAATTTCTTGTAGCATTTGAACAAGAACATGATCTTACCTGATTCGGGTGGGGTTTTTTGAAATCTGAAATTGGTTTTAATTTGAAAGCTACAGTTTTTTTTCCATTCAAAATGGCATCATTTGTTTATTTTTTAGCTGAATGAGTAAATTTATTAAGAACGCACAATTTTATATACATACATGCAAGCTTGTCTATTCCTTTAAAAATAAACCTTTGAACAAAAAGCATATCACATTATAAACTGTCCCGTCTTGAAATGAAATATACACTCACCTTCTTCCTAACACCACGCCTTACGCAGAAGAGATGTGGGGACACTTTGCATTCCCTCGAGTAAAACTAATTGCATATTTTAAATCAGAGACTCGAAAATATCTAAAATACGTTCCAAAGATATGCAAGGAGAAAACAGAAAAAAAGTATTTCCCTGCGTTATTATTTACTTTTCAGGTGCAATTTTTAAAGGATTAATGCAACTTAATTTAACACTTATTTTTGCTTTAGAAGTGCCTGTGACAGTCAAGTTCACTGATGAGATCTCTCAATTTGGTAGTATATCTGGCGGGAAAGGATCATCCTTGGGAAAACTCACAAAAATGAGTCTTAAAGATAAGTCGGTAATTATGAGAATTTTTTTTCCTTGCATTTATAACTGTATATATCATAGCTAACAGTCCAGAAATCTTAAGTTCCATTAATTAATAAGCTAAGCTTAGTGTTCTCTTTAACAAAACTATCCCGAATGTCAGAAAACCCTGCAAAATCTGCTTCAAAACTCTAAATACCACTCAGACTAAAGCGATTTACTCTACATTTCATTAATCCATACCTTTCATATGCATGCTTCATAAGCATGCTGCAACATCTCATTACTCCTAGATAAGCTCAAAAAGTATCAGAATAAAATTCTCCAAAGAATAACACGAGAAAGATGATTTTATTTTACAACCATAGTTGAACAGCAGACCCAATTTAGGGTTTACGACTACCAATGTTCAACTCCCTAAACTAGTGATGTTGAACCCAATCCAAAAGACACGGGAAATCCTGGATCAGGTCATAATTTTCCTTCGTTGAGCACTTTTTGATGGAACTAACCCGCATTTTGGTTACATGAAGAGCAAAAACTCGAAAACCTCCCACATTTAGCTGACGGCTGGGGGACTCTGACCCATGATTCGTCTAATACTGAGGACGTTTTAAGTCAGCACTGTGGTCGATGCGTGCCTAGTGCAGAATTCATAGCGACCAGCCTTCACTGGGATTCGAACCCGGTTCACCTCATTGGAAGGGGAATGCTCTATCCTCTAAGCCACCATGACTCGAGCAAGATGATTTATCAGAAATAAGAATATCATCATTCTCAACAATGATTATTTAAATTATCATGCTACAAAGCTTTGCAACTGTTTCTCATGACTGTTAGGTTAAGCTTAGCCTATCTAAAGCCAACGCTGTCTACGCTTATTTTGAAAATGGCCCAAAACGTCAATGTGGTAGTACGCTCATTCTCAAGACTTGCTGAACGTGAATGAGATGAAACAAAAGTGATTTGAATTGAGTATTGAGCATAGTGAAGTTCTAGGAGCTCTCTGCTTTTGCTTATAGCTCTGTATTTCAAGAGGTAAGACTAAATTTAGCCTATCAAGATTTATATGAGCTCTGAGGCTCTTCTTCAAATTCAACATCAGTCAATATCTATTTTTTCATAGGTAAGGCTTAAGATTGGGGCACGTGAGTCCCCGTCAAACGANCTTGTTCAAATGTATTCTTAATATGAAAAGTAAACAATCTCTCTTTTTTACCGTGGTAATTAATCTTTTCTGAAAATTAAAATTACATCAATATTGTTTTATAATGAAATATTCTACAACAATCATGTTTACTAATTAATTACAATTATATGTTTTTTTCTATGTAATTCTATACACTGATAATGTTTTTAAAACACAATATTTTACTGTCACATTTAAAGAAAGTCATATTGTATAAAATTGAGTAGTTTAAAAAATTAAGTAATATTAAAAGTCCAGTAAATTATTGTTCCCAAAAATTTGATTGAACTTATATTTTTAAAATATTAATCTTATTAACTATGTTTTATCTTAGTTAATTTTAAAAATAGTATGGTGTATGTATACTGTTTCAAAAAAAAAAATGACGCGATCTTTTTTTCTTTGATGGACTACGAGGCCTGAATTGCTTAAAACTTTTTGAATGTATAAAATCAGATAAAAAATTTTTTAAATTCCTTTTTAGCGCATGCTCAGCATAAAAGAACTACTTGAAATACTCATATCTTGCGCAGTTTTTCTGCAATTTTTTTTTAAATTTTAAATCAATGCATTTGTAATTAATTTTAAATTGCAACGAAAAGTTTGTTTAATTCCATTGAATATTTTTAAAGTTATAGCAAAAAACCATAAAACAAAAAATTAGCTTTTTTTTCATAAAAAAAAACCCATCATATCTCCAGTAATATTTACGCTAGGTTTACGAAATGTTATGCAGTTACTAAAAACGACAACTTAAGTAATTGGTACAAGTTCCAAGCTTATTGCTTGATTTTCTGGCATAGGGTGTTAAAAAACTTGTTATTTTTCATTACTTATTATAGGTTTCTGAAATCTCTGAGAGCTATAAATTTTACTTTTATTTAATTTAAAATTATATCCATTCTTCTCTTTTTCTCGAAATTTTCATTTTGGACGCGAGTACTAACACTTGATTTCATGTCAAAAAGTACAAAAACTGAAACATTTTAATAAAACACTGATTTGATGCTGTTGAAAGTTAATATTTGTATCGAAACGTTTAAAATTATAAACGGTTCAAAAGAAATTTAAACATTTAGTAATTTTAACAGTTATGTGATAGAAAGTTATATTTATAAATTTTTAACAAATAAAATTAAATCTTAACAAAATGTGCTGAAAAGAGTAACGAGAATTTTAAAAACAAAATCTTTTTTTTAATCGATTTTTAGGAAGAAACAAAACTAAAATGATTCAGATAGATGTATAGGACTTGTTAAACGAAGTGATAGTGTAATGAACCATCAAGTAATTAACAAAAAATTGCTGTTTTATGCTCTACACCCGTTTTCTTTTCTGATACAAGACCAAGCTGTCTTGTTCTTCAATTCCCCATGAAAATAATAGAGGTACTTTTCATGTTTCAGGATTTTTTTTCTCCAAATTTTGAATTATGAAAAAATCTTTCCATCTTGATTATTAAAAATACTATATTGATAACACGTGGTGGTATAATCTTTAGGGGTTGCTAAAGAGATGTTTCATTCGCCAAATGCTTGGCGATGGACATTTGTTAAAATTCAAGAGTCCCCACTTCAAGGATCTATTCATAACAATACATTTCCCCCTATGACACATTGATGGATCATATCTATTGTTATGACCCTCGACCCCACCTTCAGGTTGGAAAATCCTAGGATAGACAGAGCACAGCCCGTTTCTCATGACTGTTAGGTTAAGCTTAGCCTATCTAAAGACAACGCTGTCTACGCTTATTTTGAAAATGGCCCAAAACGTCAATGTGGTAGTACGCTCATTCTCAAGACTTGCTGAACTTGAATGAGATGAAACAAAAGTGATTTGAATTGAGTATTGAGCATAGTAAAGTTCTAGGAGCTCTCTGCTTTTGCTTATAGCTCTGTATTTCAATAGGTAAGACTAAATTTAGCCTATCAAGATTTATATGAGCTCTGAGGCTCTTCTTCAAATTCAACATCAGTCAATATCTATTTTTTCATAGGTAAGGCTTAAGATTGGGGCACGTGAGTCCCCGTCAAACGACAAGACGCTTCCAACCGAAATCACGAATTTAACATCCAGGAGTATTGAGTATTGTAAAGTGCTACGAGCTTTCCCTATAACTCTGTATTTCAATAGGTAAGGCTTAACTTAGCCAAACAAGATTTGTATGAGCTCTGAGGCTCTTCTTCAAATTCAACATGCTTCCACCGAGTCCAACCAAGTGGTTTGAAATATAGATCACTTGAGTTGCCAAAAGTTGCCAACGAAAAATGAAAGATAAAATATGCGAAACTAAACTAGAGAAATTACAGTAGTCGAAAGAGAGAAAAAAGAGGAAAAACAAAACAGATATAAAATACGAAAATCACTGCGGACCATTTGTCGAAAAAGTTACTTCGGTATGTTTTGTGCATTATAATTATTTTGCTAATATTATTTCATTTTATTTCGCAGTTCATTGTTCCCAAGGGGATTATTGTTACAACATCTGCTTTTGAAGAATTTTTAAATTCTGACATACTGAATGTTATAAAAAAATTGGAAAATGTCGTATAGTAAGTAAAGAATTATATTTACTTCCTAGCAAACTGTGACGACTTGGCACAATAAATAATTTTAAAAATATCTGACTATCACTTTAAATTTTTTTCTAAACATTGAACATCACATCATACTTCACTGTACCACGATAAAAGTTTGCGCAGTAAATTACTTATATAGGCAGCATGATTTTAAACTGGTGATTTGCATATATCTGTATCTGCCAATGCCAAAAGTTGGCGAAATTAAAAATTTTGTGTCAAATAATTAGTCTTAGCAGGCACCTCTTTTTTTTTCACTACCAAAATTTTATGAAATTTAGTTTCAGGAGTTATTTTCACACGCTTGATCGAATTCAATAAAAAAAAACGACGTGTTTCTTTAAAAAAAGTGTTTTTTTTTTGTTGTCAAAATAAACTTATTCCGCTACCATTGCTGTTTACTGTTGTATGATTTAAGAGATTTCATTCATAACACTTTATAGGATGAAAAAATCCGTTTCTTTCTTCTTTTTTTTTCTGTCTATACATATTTTTTTTAAAAACTAACATAAGTGGTTAGTAATCTTTACTTAACACTTAGCGCTGAATTACATGAATAATGACTTCAGAGTTTATTGCATATTTTAATATTATAAAACAGGAAACAGTACTATCACGCTTCAACGTAACAAATATTGATAGTTAAACACTTTGAACTTTGTGTAAAGTATAGTACAAAGTGGTAAGTAGAAAGTGTAAAGAACACTTAAACAATTATATTTTACACTTTGAATTTAGTGTAAAGTTTAGCACAAAGTGTAAAGTGTAATTAGACATCTGTACTTTACAATTTGTACTTAGTGTAAAGTATAGTATGAAGTGCAAAGAATGTTTAAACTATTTAAACACATATACTTTACACTTTTAACTTAGTGTAAAGTACAGTATAAAGTGCAAAGTATATTTAAACACTTATATTTTACACTTCGAACTTAGTGTACAGCTTAGTACAAAGCGTAAAGTATTGTTAAACTGTCATACTTCACACTTTAAAAATTTTTCTAAAAAAAGTACCGAGTTTTCAAAGTATTTTCTTCTTTTTAACGTAGATATTTTCTGACAAACTATTTGAACTATTTCAATGTTTTTAATTCTTTTTAAATCTTTTTATACTGTAAGATGTAAAATAAAAACCATGTCGTTTTTTTAATTGCAGTGGAAATACTGAAGGAGATGTGAAAACTGAATGTGAAGTGTAAGTATATCGATTTTCTTACTAGAAACCGGAACATTTATATTCAATGTTAATAGCGTTATTTATAGATTAGTTTAAAAATTGTTCTTACTGTATTTGATTTTACAGCGTTGCCAAAAATATTTCAAATACAGCATTACCAAATAAGATAAGTACGAGTATCGTGGAAAATTTGAAATCGGTTTTTGGAGACGGATATAAAAACCGCAAGTTCGCAGTGAGATCGTCTGCAACAGGTATTTATGTTAATTTATTTCAGTTATAATCTTCAGCAAATAATTTTCTCGAAATACTATCGGTAAAGTCCGAAATGTTTTAGTAATTTATTATATTCAAAGCTTTAACGAAACTTTAAATAATGAAGAGGAGAGTTTGACGTGTTTTGAAATAATAATATAGAAAAAAGAAGAATTGTAGTTGTTCTTTTTTTTCTGTATTTATCATCATTATTTGAAAATCACCGATTTTTTGTCTTCTTTCTTCAAAATTTTTATAAGAAATTCTTACAAAGCATTTTAAGATAAATTTTTATCTAAAATGAATATACTAATACCTGGAAAATTAGCCGATACTATATAGATTCGATTTGTATAAGCTACACGCATTGTTTGCAATTGTGCAAATCCATAGAAAAGTTTTGGTTTTCTAAAAGTTTTTAAATTATTTTACTTCATACATTCTCGTCTTAGGATTCCTTATTTTTTTGAAAAAAATTACACTATGTTTTTTTAAGTTTCAGTGCCATTTCCCGGAATAAATTTGCCCGATTTATCCTACACTAATATTTCTTTAACCCTTTCAGTACGGCAAAAAATCAGGTCAAGTGTGCCCCATTGCCGGGATCAGTTATTTCTCCTCCAAGCGATGATTAGATAAAATAACTTTTATGCCTAAAAGGTTGAAGGTCTTGGAGACGCATAAACGTTTCCATAACAGCGCACCATCAATAACAATTATTTCACAATCTTCATTGATGGGACCGCATATGTCCCGCCGTAAGCCCAAAGCATCTAATCCCCGGGACAGGGTATGTCCCGGCCAGAATTCTAGAGTCAATAACTCAATTTTATTGAAATTTCACTTAACATTTTGATGATCATTTTAGGCAACGTTTTTTTTAATTATTTTTTTTCTAATGGCAGGCACTGAATTTGAATCTTTGCCTATGAAGATGCCGGTATTGTTACTCATTTAGCGTTACCCAGTGGGCACCTGCGAACCAAAGTCACGGAGGCGAGCAACGTTGCCTACGCCACACCGCCACAAACCCGTTTATAGGGTGGGCCACATTCACACATCACAAACACGCAACAGAGGACAGCACAAAGAGAGAGAGAAACATCGATGCCCAGAGCGGGATTCGAACCCGCAGCCAATGGCTCCGCAGTCAGGTGCGCTAACCGCTCGGCCACCTGGCCGGCTTTTATTAAATTTCCATGTACATTTGCGTTAACATTTTTATTAACATATTTATTTATGAACACTTTTCGAAATTAACAGTTATAAAATAAGAAAGGTAAAAAATTTAAAGTAGTTAGGAACAACAATATCTAAAGTCTGGGTTTCTTGAGGGTGTGGTAGGGCTGGAAACAGTTCTTGCACAGTGCTACGTTGCAAGAGGTACACACTATTCTCAAACGTGCCCCTTTATTCATTTTTGAGCACCATGCACATCTTCTGCGCGTTTTCCCCTCAATTGTGAAATGGTTTCCAACATAGAAAAGTCTCGCTGTTGATGATGATGATGATATAGTTTTGGAGGAAGAGCGCCTTTGCTTATTGACTTCCTTGCTCGCATTTCCAAATGTTCTTTCTTTCCATTTCTGTACTTTCGTTCGTACATTGGGCAATGTAGATAAATAAGCTTTTGGGAAAGATCTTGAAGAAAGAATCCACTTCGGTGGCTTCGTTGCCAATAAAGAAATTTGTTTGACCCTTGATGGCATTAGGGTAACTAGTTGCACCATTGATGGTAACTAGTGGCATTCGTGATGCAAAGTTAGTTGGATGGGACAATGAAAATGATGGTGGATTTTGGTTCTGGAACTCAACTTCATCCTCAAACAAATCATTGTGATTGGGTGAAACGACTTCATTGTCGGTCTCCTCTTCAGTATTTTCAGTTTCAGAAGACCCACTAATATAAGCGAGCTGTCTCAACTTGTTATCAGGGTAAATTCTCTTTTAACTCATTTCGACCTTTCATCAGAGGAAGGAGCTTTCGAATTATTTAGAAATAGTGCTGGCTGAAATCCTAATAAATTGAATCTATTAAAACAAAAATCACTATTAATACACTACCACTCGAAAATATTTATTCGCTGTCCGGAGCAAGTTGTCGCTTGCTTGATTAGACCTGGAATGATTGACGTGAGAAATTTAGGGACTCATCAGAACGATGAGACGGCCTTAAAATCGGTTTGGAGACCAAAGTGGACGTTATTTTCTGTCCTATATATTTTCAGTAACCGGGACATGCGTTGTCCCAGCCGTAATATCAAAAATTTACCAGACTGGGACAGCACATGTCCCGTCCGGTGCGAAAGGGTTAAGGTTAAGTGTCACTGCATTTAGCCGGTACTCTGAGCCCTGATGATTCTCCATTTCTATCCTCAGCATATATTAAAATATAGAGTAAATATAATACTATCAATGAATAAATTAATATCAAATTGGATACTACAAATATTTCGGGCATTCAAATCGACTATGTGATTGTTGACATTCACCGCTGAAAGTCGACATTCTCTTGAGTTCGGTCATACACGGTAACATATATATATATATACAGTCAAACCTCGATATCTCGAACTTGAAGGGAGAGGAGGAAAAATTCGAGATACCGAAANCAGAACGATGAGATGGCCTTAAAATCGGTTTGGAGACCAAAGTGGGCGTTATTTTCTGTCCTATATTTTTTCAGTAACTGGGACATACGTTGTCCCAGCCGTAATATCAAAAATTTACCAGACTGGGACAGCACATGTCCCGCCCGGTGCGAAAGGGTTATGGTTAAGTGTAACTGCATTTAGCCGGTACTCTGAGCCCTGATGATTCTCCATTTATATCCTCAGCATATATTAAAATATAGAGTAAATATAATACTATCAATGAATAAATTAATATCAAATTGGATATTACAAATATTTCGGGCATTCAAATCGACTATGTGATTGTTGACATTCTCGTGAGTTCGGTCATACACGGTAACATATATATATACAGTCAAACCTCGATATCTCGAACTTGAAGGGAGAGAAGAAAAAATTCGAGATACCGAAAATTCGAATTATCGAAAATCGCATATTATCGATGGTAGAATAAAGAAAAATGCTCTTTATGTACCTTATTTACTATTCCATATTTATTCTAAAAACATTTTTTACACTTAAAATGATTCAATTGTTGTCTGCTTTAGAGATGTGTGAGAAAGTTTGTCTATGACAATAACACTTTCTAAGTGGACAATAGCTTTAAATGTCTCCTCTGACATATTCGGCTGCCTCTCAATAAATCTCCTTACAGTGTCCACTGCAGAAAGTGGCTTGTTTGAGAATTGATTATGATTATGAGAATTGGTTTTCTATTCTTAAAAATTATTTTTTTTGAATATTTTTCCCTTTTCAGAAAAAAAAAATCTACACTATTTATCTAAAAAAAAATTCAAGTTATCGAGAGATTAGAAAAAAAAATTCGAGAAATCAAGTTTTTTTTAACATTGAGTGTATAGGAAATTTGAAGGGAATTTTTTTTCCTTCGAGATATCGAAAAATTCGTGAAATCGAGATTCGAGTTAGCGAGGTTCGACTGTATATTGTAACTGGCAAATAATATTGCATGGTAATCATGGACAGTGTTCCAGAAGCTGGAGTAAAATTATCAGTTTCGGCTCTTTTTTGTCTTGATGTTTCTAAACTTTCAGCCCTGTCACTGATAGTAAATCTAAAACGTTACTCTCCCCCCCCAAAAAAAACTATGTATTACCAGTATTTTTTCTTCAGCATATAAAAAGTAAACCATTTGTGGAAAATTAATATGAATTTACCTTTTCAAGACGAACGATTCATATATTTTATAGGGTGGGGATAATTAGGGTGAAAAAAGATAAAACTGGTAGCAAAACTGTTTCTTATAGCAGTTTATTTGTGGGCTGGGTAAGGATAGTTTGCTTTATTTAATTCACCACTACTTAGTTAGAACTAAAAATTGTATAGTTGCAAAAAATAATCTTTCTAATTAGGTATGCCCAAACATAAGCTGCCCCTTTTTATTTTTCACCATCCTGATTCCTTATGAATGCTTTTAATGACTCGCCCTTTCCGAAAGGGTTAAAATGTTCTTTAATCTTCATTTAAGTTTCACTCACCTGATTGCTCAGGGGATAGAGAGTTCGCCTTCCAATCAGGGAACCTGAGTTCGAACCCCAGGGATGGCTAGTCAATACGAATTCCGCACCCGGCTTGCACCCACCACAATGTTTACATAAAATATCCTCAACGGATCATGGATTAGAGTTGGAGGATCACGGTTTTTATAGGCAGTCCGATCAAACTAGTTTTTAGGTTAACCAGTTTACGAAAGAGTCATTTAATACAAAATATATTAAAAATTAGAAAGTGGTAGCAAATATATGTCTAAAAATTTCTTTACTTTATGAATATCATTGGTTTGTCTTATTAACTTGTCAACCACTACAGATTTAATTCTCAAATATGTCTGATAAATTTCTCTCAAGTACTTTTAAAATACAATATGGGTTCACGAGCACAACTGGTTCCATACCTGCCAACTTTTAATCCCTTCTATTATCATTTTTCCCAGTGGTATTAAAATGGAATTAAAATTTCAATTTTAAGCAAACAAATGCGTTGCATTTGAGAAAACTTAAGTTGACAACCAGGATAGTAACTCATATTAATATATGTGCTTAATTTTTGTAAGAATAATGGTGATCGAAATCATTTAAAAATTAAGTTAATAAAAGAAAAAATAGTATATATTTACTACCACTTTAAATGTAAAAATAAAATCTTCGGGAAAATCCGGACGAGTTGGCAGGTATGTGGTTCCCTTTTTAAATAATCTGCGCTGACTACTTTGTTTGCATTAGAGCAAATTTCAATTCAAGTTATATAAAACTTCATTTCATCTAAAGAGTCTTTTATATATAACTTGCTAATCATGTGGCCAATCATTCCATCATAATGTATGTAGTGTCCGCGCTGCGGGCTCCAAATTACTGCTTGTAAATTAGCCAAATTTTAAAAGTATTCGTCACTTTTCGAAAGTCTTCGTTAAATGCAAATCTTAAAATTTGTTTACGTTTAATTTTTTTTCCCTTAGAAAACTATTTTATGGTAGTTTGACTCAGTCCTACATTATTTTGATCCAATTCTAATAAAGCATCCACCGGAAATTGTTGTAATCGAATAAAAAACACTTATTTTTTTTTTAGAAAAATTCAATATGACGTAATTTTGAGGATCGAGTTAAATATATATTTCTTTTTTCAGTGGAAAAAATCATTCGCCATTACTTTAGTCAAAATACAATTTTATTCGTCAAATTTACGATTTTATAGCATTTGGCGAGATGAAAACTGCTTATACAAACTGCTTTCAACCGAAAACTTGAATGTGCTTATTAAGTTTTTTCCTGTGTGTTTACAATCTTTCATTCAAAATTTCTTAATTTAGGAGAAGATACCGATGTGATGTCAGCAGCTGGTCAAATGGACACATTCCTGGGAGTTCAAGGCTTACAAGAGGTAACACAAACTATTTTTGGATACTGCGCGCAAAGTTATAGAGCAATACTTACAAAGTTATAGAGCAATTTTTGTTCCCATTTCTGCCCTTTAAGTAAATTTTTGACTTTTAACAAAAACTTTTGGGTTTTACTTGAAAAATTGAATTTTAATAAATGATTCAATTAAAAAACTAAAATATACTATTTATAAAGTTGCCATATTCTGCACTTTTAATTAGAAAAATATAAATTCAAACAAAAAAGTTGAAAGTTATTCAGTGTCAAATCAATTATTTATCCCTACAATTCTACTTCAAATTCTGTTAACATTTGGTGCACTGTTGTAAACAGTATTCGAAATGTTTTATCTTAATTTTTTTTAATATTAATTACCGATTTCTTTTTAAACCTGGCATATTGGATATTTTATTTTTCGATAAAATTCTTCTGAGGTCTCTATTAGTTGAGGTACTAATGCTTATAACGATTGAGTAAGCATTCATCAAATCATGAAACAAGTTCCTCACCACTTTGAATTTGAAAAGGAATAAAAAAACATAGTTTTAATTATACTTTCTTCGTAGTTCATCAATGTCTTTCATTTTTCAAAAATCAATTATTGTACATATCAAATCATGTTTTATCTTTATTTTCAATTTAAGTCTACAATCAATATTTCTAATGAAATGTAAAAACATCAATTTGTCATACTGAATGTTTTCATTGTTTTATTATTTCACAAGCAAACGGCTTGATTTTTTTTAGGGCTACCACAATGTTTGCCAAATCAATGTATTTCACTTTAATGTATGTAATTTAAAGATGAATGGGAAAGGGGCAGTTTCACGGCCCAGGTGCCCATGTTTATTTAAATAAAGCAAAGCAAAGCAAAGCAAAGCTTCTTCGTGGCCTGTGGCCGGTAGGCTATGACAACTTAGTAGCCACTTTTTTTTCTAACTAATGACTCGATGACCAATACCATATTGTCCTATTATTTTAATAGCTAATTTTTTATCTTTTTTATTACTTGAATTAATATAATTTTTAAAAAATATTAAATCAAGTATAAATCAAGTATTAAATAATTCAATTATAAAACAAATTAGAAATAGTTTGCGGCTATAAAAAAGTTAGTTCGGCAATAAAAATAATATAGATATGTGACAAAATTTAATTAACACTTAACATTTAATAACTGGTCAATAGATCAGTTATTGTATGTTGTATTATATTGTATTGTAAAGTGTTGGTATGTGTTTAATGTTAAACAAGCTGGCTTGAATTCACCGTGTTAAAAATTCGATGTGCAGTTTTAAAAAAATGAGAAAGAGTGACCGGTTGTTTATTTAATTCAAGCTGCCACTTTTATTTGATGACACACCACGTGACGAGTAGTTGTTTTCAAGTTTAGTTCTGATTTATCAAGACAAGCTCGTTCCTTTAAAATTTAAATTATTTTCTACAGAGTAAAGTGTTTATCTACTTTATCGCCTACGTTCATCTACTTTATCGTCTGCCAAACAAATCAATCTTACATTTTGATGTATCATCAATATTTATGTTGTTGTTGTTAATTGTTGATGAAGTCCAAAATGAATTAGGCAAGGGCAGCTATGCGGCTCTAGGTACCCAGATTCCTAATCAGCATAAGCCTAAATTCGCTCTATAATCTCATTTCTTTCGTCCCAAATTAGTTGCTACAGTTAGGTCGAAAGTTATGTCCCAAATTAGTTGCTACATTTAGGACGAAAATTATGTCCCATATTAGTTGCTACATTTCAAGTAAGTGGTATCATAAATAACTTCGGATACATTTTAATAAATTCACACCAGTAAAATTACACTATTAATGAATCCACTATTCATCTAACTAGCTGATAGTTCTGAGCGAATGCTGATGGAAGAGTCAGAGTCCTTATTAAATAGGACTTGGCTTTAAAGCGTTCGAAAGCTGGAGTTTTTTAAATTTTTTAATTGGTACTGATTTAAGGAGATTGATTAAAAGAGAAGAATGAAATGCTAAGCAGATGTTGTTGATTGATAGCATAGCATACTGACATCTCTGAGAAATATTCAAACAAAATCATACAAAAAATCAACATGAATAGTCCGTACAAAAATTATTCCAACTCGGGTTAGAGGGAGTACTACATTTCTTATTTACGAAATTAGTCCATTAAGAAATTTGAAATCTCTTTCATTTCTCACATCTTAGAGTATCTATAAATATCTTCCATGTAGAACTGCTGTTCAGCTTTGATGATAAAAAAGTTTATCAAATTATAATTATTTTTCATTAATTATTTTATTTATTTATATTTATTCAGATTTTCTATGCAGTCAAGAAATGCTGGGCATCGCAGTTTGGACATATAGCTATTGAATATAAAAAGTAAGATTTGCACCTTGTTAGATCAAAAAGTAAGCTTAATTTGTCTTTGAACTTCTTTTTATTCTGGGATTTTTTTTTGTTGATTATAATTAATTTTTAATTATTTAAATAAAATTATGTTTCTCATTCAAGTATTTCAAATATTATAAATTCTTCAATTAATTTTTATGCTTTGCTGTTCATTATTCAACATATTATGTATTTCCCCCCGTAAAAACCTGTAACATTGTAAGTAGGTAATTCTTAATCTTCCCTGTATCGTTCTGATTTTGCCCCTTTGAATGAGATTGGGGAACAAGTTGCTTTTCTGTTAACACGCTACACTAATTTTACATGGCTTGCCCATCTGACCACAACGGTAAATAACTACAAACCAAATTTGCAAATATTTGACAGATTTTGCTAGTTTTTAAAAAGGTTTAGCATGACCCATGATATAAAAAGTGTTGAATTATACAAGTATACAAAGAGCTTAGAAATAGTGATGGATAAAAATCTACTCAATTGTTTTTATTAAACCAAGAATTAAGTGTTTCTAATAATCTTGGCTTCACCGGTAACCTCCGTGGCGCTACGAACAAACTCAGTGCCGCTCACCGGTGACCCCTATGGCATTCAATGTGTTAAGTGAGATTTTTTTAAACCTCAAAGGCTATAGCATCACTGATTTCAAATCAGCAATAGGTTTCGCTCTAAAAACTACAGCTTTCATGCAATATAATAATATATTCCTGAACAGGATTTTTTTTAATTCACTTGTGTGAATACAATGTGTCCTCACTTCTCCACTAGGTGGGACCAAAGACGATAATATGTTTCAGATTACTATGTGATAACTTAAGGTTTTAGGTTTTCTGTCTCAACACGTTCAACTACAAGACGAGTGCACGTGGTTATGTGTTAAGAATGCTAATCGATGAAGATAAAATAAAAGTAGCATTGTCTTATTTAACCATTTCGCGCCGACTGTCACAAATACGTGCCAGCATAAAACCGTATCAATCAGGGTAAAAAGATAAAACTGGTAATCAAAGTAATTCTTTAGCAGTTTATTTGTGGGTGGAGTTATAATAGTTTGATTTATTTAATTCACCATTACTTTGTTCAAAATAAAACTATTTAGTTATACTTTGAACTAGCAATTGATTATATATATGATTAAACTAACAATAATTAAAGTAAAAGCAAAGTAAGTCTGTCAAATTAGCAACGTTTAAGTTAACGTTTTTTATTTAATTACAACTTGATTCTGGTTTAGTACGAATGCTTTTCTGAATCACCCGTCCCCAAGGGGTTAAGCAATCATTTTAGATATTAACTACGTTATTGTCGTGAGTTATTTTCGCCGTCGTCGATGACAACCCTTTAACAAAATTTTTACCTGTGCACCCTTAACCTGCCGGGGTCACTAAGTCCTAAGAGTTCCCATAACAAATCTTTACATCTGAGGGTACTGGATCAGAGACAAATCGGGCTTTGGTTCAGTAGGTCAAAATTACGATCTGCGGATGGATGGATGGTGTGTCAATGTGCCCTCCCCGTTAAACAGGATGTAACGTATGTATGTTGTCTCCGAATCATCCTCAGGGGTGTTTCCCAAACTGTCGCCAATAGCCCATTGTGTAGTTCTAGGACAATGTTAATGCAAGACCGTACAGTATTATACTTTCTATTATTGATTAATCTGATAAGCTCAATTGAAACCAAACTTTGTATATGTACACAGGCAGAATGGTCAAGTTCTGAACTCTCCGATGGCTGTTGTTATACAAGAGATGGTGGCTTGTGAAGTTGCTGGAGTTATCTTTACTTGTGATCCTGTAAATAATAACCCGGATGTCATCACAATAACAGCAAATTATGGATTAGGAGAGGTAAGAAATGCGAATAACATGTTATTTTATTAATTGCGAAATTTTCATCTTCAGAAAAAGTTGAAGTAAAATTATCTTTACTCCTTTGCAAGTTAAGAAAAGACCATTGCTGTATGGGATTCAAGTTATTATCCCTGATATAATATATAGTTCCGTTATAGTAATATATAGTTCCGTTTTATTTCGCTATCACATTATGCAATTATGCTTTCGACACAATATAAAAGGTTTTAAAAGTTCATCACATCAGACTGAAATTTATCTATTATATTAATATATCTATTATAATATGTATTAAAGAATTATTAAAATAAAGTTTATAGCTTCGTAGTCCTGCTGGAATCCTAGATTTAGCTACTTGCCCTAAACAAATCAAATGCTAGATAAAATATTTTTTTTTCTTTTGTTTCCCAGTAGAAGAAAATCGTCAGCAAGCTGCAATATTTATTATTCTTTCATCCGTTTTCTTTTAAATGATGACAGAAGGATGTACATTTGCTGCAATGTTTAGATATTATTTTCATGAATTCTTCTTAACAAAACAATATGTTTCATTTTCCTCATTTTACTCGATTTAAGAGAGCAAGCAAAAAGGCAACAAATGCAACGTCGTCGTTTCACGAGTTGGCGCTGTTGATATTCGTTCCAGCTGGGAGCTGGAGAATAGATACAAAAAAATTATTCTACCCGATGTGCAACTAACAGATGGGACTCACTTTTTTTTTGTTTCTGTTTTTATAACGCTTGTAATACCGCTATCTTCGATGTTTGGATAGTTTTTAAGGATTCTTGTATCACTCTAATTACACATCACGAATTCGTTCTTGTGCTTGAAGAACTACGAAATAGTATTTTGAGCCAGACAGCCCCGAATTCATAACATTCATTCTACAAAATAAAAGCTCCTTTTAACATTCCACAGGACATCATGAAACTACTGTTATTTATGAGAGAAGCTCGGATATTTTCCTGTCACGCATATATAGTAATGATGGAATTTCCATGACATGTTTAAAACGTGTTGTAAAAATTTAAAACATGTGTGCTAATACGTATTGCTTATACTCGTGTCTTTTCTTTATATTTGTAATATTGTCACGATTTTAACCGAAAAAATAACAAATAGAATATTTTCAATGTCTAGAAACCCTTATATAATGTATTTTTAACAATATTCACCAGTTATAAAATAAACCAGTTCATAATTCTAATGACCAATAAGTGAGGATAGCTTAAAATAAGAGAACATTAGACACCTTACCTACATAGACGTTGTGAGTTAAAAAACAACAAGCCAATAAGTAAGTTCAATTTTTTTTAAACAGTAGACTGTAATTCACTGCCTGTTTGTTTTAAAAGAGAACTAATTTCGCCAAAATCACCCCCTTAATTTGGTCTTACCACATTCTCTATTCACCCTTTTCGGGACGGGCGAGTCATAAATGTATTCGTAAGGAATCAGTAGCAGGATGGTAAAAAATAAAAAGCGGTAGCTTCAGTTTGGGCATAGCTAATCTGCCAGATTTATTTTTGCTTTTACTTCAAGTCTAACACATCCAATCCATATTTGATAAAAGTGCAACTATACAATTTTTAATTTGAACTAAATAGTAGTGAATTAAATAAAGCAAACTATCGTTATCCAGCCCACAAATAAACTGCTAAAGAACTACTTAGGTTACTAGTTTTATCTTTTTACCCTGATAGATACGGTTCCATGTTGGCACGTATTTGCGACAGTCGGCGTGAAAGGGTTAAGTATTACTACTAAAACAATTATTAACAGACCTGCCAACTTTTACGCATTTGGCGTAAAATTTTATTTCTATATTTAAAGTGGTAGTAAAATGTTTGCTTTCTGTACATTCCTTGCATTTATAAACTTAATTTATAATCTTTTTTGACCACCACTAATTTTAAAAAAATTAAGCATATATAATAATATGTATTACTTTCTTTGCACTCCGTTTAAGCTTCTTCAAAATGTAGCGTATGTTACTGCCTAAAATTGTAATTTAAATTCCATTTTACTACCACTTGGGAAAAGCATCCTCGAAGGGATAAAAAGTTGGCAGGTATGTATTAAAGATGGCATGTTAATTCAGTTTTATTTTAAAAAACTACATTGTAGAAAAAAAAACATAACTATTCTGTAGCGATCACTTTTTATTGAAATTCATTAAGTTTTGAAGTGATAATTTTCTTTTATGTTATCTTATATATTACGAGACTGTAGATCTTTGGTAACTCAATTATTATAATTGTCATAAAATTTAAAAAATATCTACTATCTTCAAAAGCTAGAATAATAATATTTTATAGTAAATTTTGGTTTTTATAATACCCAATAATATATTTCCTTACCTAATTTTTGTATTAATCGATTTTAATTGTTCTGAGATAATTATGACTGAAATTTGCATTTCTAAGTACGAGGATGACACGGGAGTCTAAAAATGTTAAAAATGGTGACTAATAAACATCTCAAATTTATTAAGAGAGATTAAACTTGGTAATTTTTTCGGACAAATTTCTTTCATTTTACAATTAAAGGTAAATGTAAATTTCATTTCCCTTTAAGCATGTATTGCTATGGTGATAGTTATAACTTTAAAATTTAATCGATTAATTATATGAAAATTAAAAATAGTTTCTACCACTTCCAGTTGCAAGTGGAATCCCTGAAATAGACGAACTCCCGAGAAAGTTTTAAAAGACGCGATCCGAATTTGATTTTTTTAAGAAATTACGAAATGATTTGTAATTTCTAAGAACATAAGAAGAATTCCATTAATATCTCTAAACTATCAATCTGTATGGATATTATTGTTCCCTCATTGGATGTATGGATATTATCGTAACCCTTTCTAAAGCCATAGTAAGCATATTTACCACCAATTTTTGAATTGTATGGTGAACTTTTTTACCACATTTAATTCAGGTTTCTTGAAGTTCGTTTGAATAAAATTGACAACCATCTGTTAGTTTAAAAAAACGTATAAAAATTATAAAATGCATAATTCCTTTTCAGGATTGAAGCATTAATAAAATTTATTTTATAAATAAAAAAAAATAAAAGTCAATAAGTTTCTAATAGGTCGAGTTAAATATCTTTAGCACCCAAATAATGGCATTTTCATAAACTAAATGAGTTTGTTTTTCTTATATTAAGTTCTTAAAACAATTTCAACTCCAAAAATATTTTTATTTACCATTACTAGAAATAAATGACCCATTAAAGGGAAAATGCTGACTCCCAAATATTGAACAATTTATTTTTTATTTTATAACCGTCGTTGAACAGCGGACCCAATTTTGGATTTACGACTACTAATGTTCAATTCCGCAGCGTTGTAATTTTGAACCACTCCAGAAGACAAGGAAAGTGCTGGATCAGTACCCCCAGAGGTATTGATTTGTCATGGGAACATGGAGGACTTTGAGACTCGTCAGATTTAGCGAGCATCAATCACCATTTACTACACGGGGAGTCTTCGGCCGGCTGGGATCGAGCCCACGAACTCTTGGACGTGGGCCCAGTGCCCTACCAACGAGGCTATCCAGGCCAAATATTGAACATTATTTAAAATAAATATCCAATAACCATTCATGCATTACCGATTTATATTTATTAGGTCTTAACTGTTTAGATGTTATTTTCTTATGCTGATTCGTTTTTTTTAAATTTTTCTAAAAAGCAGATAGATTTAAAGAAAAACTATAATTAAACAAATATTGTTTTAGGTAGCTCATTTTCTGAGATTCGACTAATTTTAATTTTTGGTAAGGGACTAATTTTTTGTTCTAAATATTTTTTTGCACTTAAATCGGCCAATACATTTATTATACAGTCACTCCCATTGAAAGAAATAGTCACCCAAGTCCTATAACTGTGTGGGGAAAAAAGTTTCTTCTTTTTACAAGGAAGTTTGTTTAACTCATTGTTACGATATAGTCCATATTTATTGAGTATCGATATTTATCGAGTGTCAATATTTTCCGGTATGTATCGAGTATCGGTTTCTTATGACGTTTATTGACTGTCAATATTTTCCGGTATTTACCTAATTTGATATTTTTCGCTATTGTTTTGTGTCTATATTTATCCGATTTATGATAGATCGTTCTTCAAGGAAGTTTGTTTCACTCATTGTCACGATGTAGTTTGTATTTATTGAGTATTGATATTTATGAATTGTCAATGTGTTTTCCGGTATTTATCAAATTTGGTATTTTTCGCTATTATTTTGCGTCTATAGTTTTCCTATTTATGATAGATCGTTAGACTATATTTTTAATTGTTATCGCGACAAGTAAAAATATCAATATTTTACGATGCATCGCTCAGTTCCATTAAAAGCATACAAAATGTTATTATTATTATTATTTTTAAATTTTAATGTAACACTGAAAGAATTAAATTATTTTTATCAATAATTATAGCTTTTTTTAAATATACTTTATCCATATCTGTTGCATTACGTTTTATTAGCATTTCTGTGGCGTCTACGGAAATATTTAAGAAGATAAGTTGGTAATCGATAATTTTGTCTTCCACGATCTTGTTTTCCACAGCATTGCTACTTATACATGCTTCCCTTTTTCATTTCAGGCGATATTTAATCGTATATATGTTACGGTCAATGTGAAATAGTCGGTTATTAATATATTAACCGTTAAATGTTAATAATCAACAATATTATTAAATATATTATTAATAACCAAAATGTCGGTTAAAGGGACTAATTTAAGTGAACATTAACCGGTTATTATTAACCTCTTGTGCGCTCGAGTCAATTCGAGCGCGTTGAACAGGCCAAACTGTGCACACTCGAGATAATTCGAGCGGCACTGTATTTTATGCTGCTATAATTTTTCACACTTGAATATAATCGAGAATTGAAAATAACAATGTGAAAGCTAAGAAAAAAATCGTTTTATTGATATTTATCATTTAGATAGGATTGTAGGCTATATAGCACTTATTATTCAAGAATAACATACACAGAGATGCCGACTTGCTCCGGACAGCGAATAAATATTTTCAAGTGGTAGTTTATTAATTGTGATTCTTGATTTGATAAATTCAATTTAGTAGATTCTTATCCACCACTATTTCTAAATAATTCGTAGGATTACTAATAATAATGTGATGCTATACCTTTTAAGAAGCAACCAAAACTAGTCAAATATTTGTAAAATTTACTTTGTAGTTATTTACCTTTTATTTAAAATTATTTTGGCGTGTCCGGAGCAGTTAGCATCTCTGAATACAGCCTTTTACCATGGAACAGAAGCGCAGTATATATCAAAATTGTCCGCGAAAAGAAGAGACAATGTTCTGAAGTGAGTTTTTTTACATTAAAAAAATGGATTTTTTTTGACGGTTTTTTTCAAAAAAATCTGTACGTTAAGGGGTTAAAATAATAACCAATGAAGCTTGGTCAATGTCATTCTTCCCCGTTTTTATTGGAGGTAGTTACGTATCTGCCACGCTAGTGCCAAATTAATTTCAAACTGAAAAAATTAAAAAAAAAAAAAAAAAAAAAAAAAAAAAAAAAAAAAAAAAAAAACATGTAGATGTGTTTGCCCGGTGTTGGCTGCGAGTTATACATTTCGAGTTGGTCCCTTTCTGCAATGTTTTTTTTTAGTTCCTGGTGGGCCGATGCCTGGAATTTGGCAAAACTTGGCGATTAGTAAGCCACAGATCACAGTACGGAAATCTCCCCTTTTAATATCTCATTCTGACCAAAAGGAGCCGTTATTATTAATAACAACCGGATTTATTACTTTAGTCGTTACATATATACAAATTCCACTTTTTTCGCAACATTTAATACTATTTTTTTAACATAATTTATTTATAATCAAACTAGAAAAATAATTCAGTTTAGAATAGTACTTACGAATCTAATAATATGACGCGAATTTTTTTATGATCATAACAGCATTTTAATAAATGCCGTAATATATATCTAGCTTAAAACGAATTATTTGCAATTTTGAGATTAAAAATGACTTTTAAAATGAAATCTAGTTAAAAGTAATTTCCATCTTTTTCATAACAGTATTGGTAAAATTTTTAATTTTTTAATAGACAATTATTATACAAACGCTTTCAGTTTCATAGACAAAATCGTCTCCTGCCAATAAAAATAAAAAAAAATTTATGTGGAATTAAATAAACATAGAAAGAAACTTTGAGTTCCTAAATCTTTCCTACAGTCTTTTTTTAAAGTTTTAATCTAACACTTAAAGTATCTGGAACCTAGGTTATTTCGCCAACATTTAGAGGTATCAGTACCGATCAGTACTTTCTTATATATATTTGCTTCATATTTTTTTTTACAAAAAATATTTTTAAAAATTATTTTTACAATTTAAGCTATAGTCACTGTTTTATATTTTTTTCTTCTTAGTGAATTATTGTTAACTGTTAGATTAGTATATCTATTTTTAAGACACTTTAACTTTTCCACCACGTCGGTAACTTAGCTTTCCGCTTTCTTTCCTTTATCCCAAACTCATTTTCAATTGCATTTTTATTTTTTAGTGATATAGACTCATTATAAAGAGTAATTTTTATCTTAGGATAAGTTTTCTTAATATTGAAATATGGTATTTAACATCGTAAAGGAATGCGTCAAGAAGAGAACCTTTACGTTTTCCCATTAAAAAAATGCATGCATGCATGCTTCAATTATAGATTCATCATGGTAGGCAAATAATTTGATATTTAATTTATTAATAGATATTAATTATAAATATTAAATTATTTTTACTTAACAGTCAATAAAAATGAGGTTAATTATAATTAAATGAAATTAAGATTTATATGTTTAAATAATCTTACCAGGCTCCCACTATCTGCCATTAACGAAAAGTTTTTTTTTAATGTTGTGTTCAGAATTACAAACATTAATGATACATATTCATTAATAATTTTCTCTCATAATTTCTTTCAGACTGTTGTTTCTGGATCAGTTGAGCCGGATACAATTATGCTTGAACGATCTGATAATGATGAATTGAAAATGAAATCAGTAAATGTTGGATCTAAGCACCAAAGAATTGTTTTAAAAGGTAAAACTCAATGCATCCCTTTTGGTGTAGTCAGTAATATTGACTTAATTTAAAGTTCTATGTTTAGGTACTTTATTTAAACAGTTAGTGTTTCCATTAAAATGTCATTTTACGTCTTAGATTATAGTTAACTCATTGCCTAGCATTCCACTGCTTTTAACTGTAATTACTTATTACATACCATAATTTACTAATAAATTCAAGGACTTTTTTTCAAAAAAATGCCATTAACAATTTCATTCGCATTTTTTTAAAAAAATTAATTGAAGTTAAAAGAACATTACTTAAAATACGTATCTAAATTAATTAAAACTCATATTTTAAAAAAAAAATCAAAATTTTTTTTATCATTTTTACAGCCCGTTTCTGATTGAATAGTTTTATCACAAAACTGTGATGAAATGCACTTTTCATGATTTTATGTGCATGAAAAAATTAAAAAAGTGTTACCGAATCTCTTTCCCAGCTAGTTTGTGATGCAATAAATGAAATCTTAGGTATTTATAATGAAAAAATAAAATAAATATAATAAAAAGCATAAAAAATTTAAATGAAAATGACTTAAAATATTTTAAATTTAACTCAGGTATGATTTCTTTACACGGAGTCCCAATTATAAAGGAAATTAAATAAAAACTTTAGAATACATTCATTTCGACCTTTTACGAGACAATAAAATTTATTTTAATCATGTTTTGAAATTAATTACAAGTTTCGTCGACAAATGGTGTTGCCAACTACGAAAATAACTATGGAACAATGATTTCAAATCATAATTTGTAGAAACAATGAGGTGCACATGAGGAGGACAAAAGTTACTGAATCTGGTGCAAAATCTGCAGTTGGAATGGTCTTACATCGAGTAAAAAAGCCTTTTTTCAGACTTTTTACAGTCTGTAGCATTACCTGTTGACAAAAGTCGGTGTTGGTAAAATTTTAGAGAGAAAATATTTTTGGATTGTTTGAGTATAACGCGCAAAAAACTGAAAATTTCTGTCTCTCTTCATTTTTCTTTCTTTGATTTTTCTAATCTTTGGTCGCCAGATAATAATAACGCCAGATAATTGAAGTGTAAAAAGCCGTTCCTTGCCATTCATACTAAATTAATTTGAATTATTATCAGTATTCAGTGTTTGTTACATTGTTCACACAGATCATCTCTATTTTATTTAAAACGAATCCGCATCATTCATTTTTGCTCTAGTAGTAAATCGAAAAGGAAACAAAATGAGGATTCAAATACTAAAAGTTGTCAATCGACTAAGTACATTCTTATAATGCAGCTGACTAAAATGTGCTAATTTGCATGGTTTAATAATTATAGTAGCATAAATATAATTGAACTATATAATATAATTGAAGACATTATATTGTCTTCAATTAGTATAGAGTTCAATTGTACTAAATAGTTCAATTATATTTATGCTATAATAATTATTAAACCAAAGATGCCAACTTTCTCCGGACAGCAGATATATACACTGGTGGATAAAATTAAGAGATGGAAAGCATTTTCGCACATTCATTCGCACATGCAAGAAACCCGCGCACCGCTCCATGTGTTTGACAATGGTTCCGTGAATGCCCAGAGGTACAGGCAGAAGCCCTATGTGCGTCTTTTCAGGGGCGCTGTTGGCCCTGAGTTCATTTTTATGGACGACACAATCCGCGACTACATAGGGCTCTCATGGTTGATTAGTATCTGGAAAGAGAGGATATTCAACGAATGAATTGGCCAGCCAAATCCCCTGACCTGAATCCTATTGAACATGCTTGGGATGCTCTTGGGAGAGCTATTGCGATGCTCCAACCTTCCCCCAGAACCATTATGGAGTTAAAAATTGCTCTGGTGGAAGAATGGGTGGATCTTCCACAAGTCTTCCTTAATTCCCTTATTAACAGCATGCATACTCGTTGTGCATGCTGTCTGTCTGTCAGGGGTGACCATACACCATACTAGAGGCAACACACACTATACAAGCCTCTCTTTTATTAGCATCTTTTATCCTTAAGTTCAGACTACATTGGATTTATTGGCAATAGGTCTTCTCAGTGAATGTTACTTTTATTTTTGTTTTGCATACTTTGCTATCATGGAATAAGCTATATCCATACCAAATTTCATTTTTTTATATTCAGTATTTTTTGAGATATTTGGGAAAATGTCTTCCATCTCTTAATTTTGTCCACCAGTGTATTTTAAAGTGGTAGTTTATCAATTGTGATTCTTGGTTTAATAAATTAAATTTAGTAGATTTTTATTCACCACCATTTCTAAATAATCGTAAGCTTATATAATTCACCACCTTAACTAAGAAGTAAATTTTGCAAATTTTTGACTATTTTTGCTTGCTTTTTAAAAGGTATGACATTAGCATACCTGCCAACTTTTACGCATCTGGCGTAAAATTTTATTTCTATTTTTAAAATGGTAGTAAAATATATGCTTTCCATATATTCCTTGCATTTATAAACTTAATCTATAATATTTTTTAATTCACCACTATTTTTAAAAAAATTAAGCATATATAATAATATGTAAAACTATTGTAGATCTCTGTATAAGCTTGTTCAAAATACAGAGAATGCTATTGGCTAAAATTGCATTTTAAATTTACTACCACTGGGTAAAATCATCCTTGAATGGCTTAAAAGATGGCAGGTATGCATCAGCATACCCTCCAACTGCTACGGAATTTCCGTAGTTTCAGAAATCTTCTTTTCTGACGGTAAAAAAATTAATGTCTTAATAATTAAAAAAAAATAATTTTAGCGTAACTT